CCTGCTGAATTCTGAGTCAGAAACTCCCTTTCCCAGGTCAACAAGAATTAATCTATTTTTCCATCTTTAGTTATATTGTAAGCAGTGAATTGATTTCAATTCAATCAACCAACACTGATGAAATCCTCCATTCATAGAGAATAAAAAAAAGTTCTTTTGGACTCTGAATTCCAACATTCTAAAAGAGAACTTCTTTCTGGAAAAGCCTCCTATTTCTACGCCCCAGATACAGGGAAATACCATCCCATGGAGGGCACAGATATACCGTGTCATTTAAGTAGTGTTGGCCATTTTGGACACAGCTAACATTTTATGTATGTGAAGTAACACACAAGCCACTTCTCAGGTTATTTTGTGTCACCTCATCGCAGGCCCTCAAAGTTACACAGCAATGTCGATCCAAAGGTAACTCTAGCCATGTCTCACCATGCTGCCAGCCACCTGTCACCCACCATGCCCTACATTAGTTTGTCCCCTGAACTGTGCCCCCGTGACAGGCTACGATAGGATGACAGAGCTCCAGGAGCGGTAAGAATAATGTCTACGACGCACACAGAACACTCTCAAACGCCACTCTGAGCTAAAATGAACATTTAAACATGAGCTGATTTTTAAAATCACTTCCCCATCTGCCACAGCCCTTCTTAATTCATCCTTCCTTCTCATACTTCACACCCAAGGATTAGTCCAATGTGTTCGCTGCCGCACTTAGTGAACCCGACAAAAGGTCACCTTCAGGTGGCTGCACGTGAGGGGGAAGGGTCAGTACATGGGGAAAAGGCACGGCAGAGGGCCTTGGGTTTTAAAGTAGGAAACGGATTCGCAGCTCAGATCCTAATTCTAGGATGGAAATCTCTGGATTAAAATTATTCCGATAATTTAGGAAAATGGAAATCTGCACTCTGAGTGTCCAAATGGACTGTTTAACTCGGGGGACCTTTCATTTCCAGAACAGGAATTCACCTCGACAAGGGGAATCACCAAGGTCTATGGACTTAAACCATAAATTCATTTTTGGCACGAATACTACAGGATTTGGTATTTGGCCTCACCGTCCTCAGCTAATTATAAATGAAATGAAGCTACGGGCAAGTAGACTGATGGCAGCAACAAGAAATGGTGAATGTGGGAAAGGAACACAGAAAATTGCTGAAAGGCTACAGTTGGAGCCAGCGGGTTCATCAACTTTTAGCCTGTCCACTACGTCACTTTACAAAACAATCACTGCTCGTGGCAACACAGACACCACGTGAGCAAGAGAGGGTGAGATTTCATCCTAGGCCCAAGGTTTAAGAAGCCAGTAAGGTATGAAACAGTTTTAAATCGTTCCATTTTGAAAAGACTGACATTTTTTTCTTTACAAAGTTTGATGCTTAAATAATGAAGGTTTAATTACTTGGAAAATGTATGCACGTGGAAGACCTCATTCCTCTTGAATCATCAAGTGGACCCTAAACGGTGCCTGTGTCACATGAAGCATGTTTACTGCCTGCCGAAGTCCATCCAAAGTCCTTTCCCAGATGGTTTCCAGTGACACCTCATATTGAATATTTTTCTCCAGAACATTTCTAAGGCTTTTTACAAAATGTTCACATAGCCTTTCAATTCCGGTTTAAAAAAAAATCCAGTTATTCCCAAGATTCCACAGCACCCATTTCTACAGCTAAGGGCTCCGGGAATCACAACTGAAAATACATGGTGGCCTCACTTCTTTTCCCATTTGTCTTTGGTGGCATTCTGGAAAGTAGAGGTGAGACACAACTACTCACGGAACATGGTGTAAAACTGCTGCGGGTTCAGATTCCACTTGCCCCAGGGGGTCTTGTGGCCTTTCAACTGGGCATAGTTGGCATGGTTGAACTCTGGTTCTGTGCCGAATGAGTCCAGGACACGCAGCATGCACCTGAAAGATAAAAGACGCCATGGGTGAAACTACAACCTTGACCCCCAAAGTCAAAGAAACAAAAGCTCTGCCCCCTCAGGGACCACCAAAGATGGACAAATCCTTTAAACTGAATGCCACTGGGCAGGAATTGAGAGGTTTTACACTAGCATGTCTACCAAACATCCCCACGTGTGACTTCCGAGCCAGAGCCATCACAAAGCTCATACAATCTGCTCTAGATGAGTTGACTAATCACAGAAGATGCTCCAATACCAGGGAAATAAAAAGCTCCCAAAAGCTGGAACTGCAGACCACCATGGTCACTGCTGTACCCCTAGCCTGGGCTGAGCATACAGTGGTGCCTAATGGACAACTGTGGAAGAAATAAAGAACTACCATTTTTAGAGGTTACTATGCCCCCCCCAATTCATATGCTGAAATCCTAAGGAGGTGGTATTAGTAAATGGGCCTTTGGGAGGTGATAAGGTCATGAGGGTGGAGCCCTCATAAATAGGAATAGTGCTTTTTTAAAAGAAATTCCACAGAACTCCCTAGCGCCTTCCACCGTATGAAGATACAGTGAGAAGTCTGCGACCTCACCTGACCATGCCAGCACCCTGATCTCAGACTTTCAGCCTCCCAAAATGTGAGCAATACATTTCTGCTATTTATAAGCCACCCAGGCTGTGATGATTTGGTACAGCAGCCTGGGCAGACTGAGACGGAGGTCTTATTCTGCTTAGAGCACATGGCATGTCCTGTCTCCTTCAACTATTCAAGATTTTCATCAACTAACTACAGTACGTGATTTTAGGTAAAGCTTAGAATCTCACTCAATAGGCAGTGGTGATTTTTATGTATTTGATAGTAAGAGGGCATTATTGTTTTCTCCCAGAGCTCAAAAAGAAGTGAAACTGAAAATGTTTTGTTTGGTTATTCCACAAAAGCCTTAGAACAGTATCAATCAAACCTGGTCTATTGCCTGTTTTTGTATGGCCTTCTAGCTAAGAATGTTCTTTACATTTTTAAATGGTTAGAAAAAAAAAAGGGAGAATATTTTGTGATGTGAAAATTATACGGAATTCAACTTTCAGTGTTCAAAAATAAAGTTTTATTTGAACTAGCCAAACCTAGTTGTTTCTGTATGTCTATGACTGATTTCACACAGTAGCAGTAGACTTGGTAGCTGCAACACATGGTCAAGCAAAGCCTAAAGTATTTACTTTCTGGCTCTTTAGAGAAAAAGCCTTCTGACCACTGCTTTGGAGTACATAAAGAATGACCAATCGGAAGAAAGGAATCAATACTAAAACAGAATTTATTGATTTTGGTTACATTTATCTCATCACTGATTCTCAAAACACGGATGTAAATTTAACTCATGACTGGCCAATGAAAAAGCACTATTTTCTGTTGTTATGTATCAGTAATAATTCTGAATGGCTCTTACTGGACCAATAAGCATAAAAGTAAATGAAGATAGAGCCCACACTTTAGAATCAGATGATGGCAATGACTTTTAAGCATCTGATTCACTTTCTTTCTTCCTTTCCCCACTAGGAGGAAGGGCATCTTCCCATTATTTTTACATCAATGCATATTGCAGAAAAAAAGAATGCAAACACCAGATAGGGTTCTCCAGGAAGAGCAACAGTAAACTGTCATTTTAGTGTGACGATTTTCACATCAGAGCTCAGCACTACTTGTCTACACAAGGAAGAAAATAAAGAGGGGAGGCAAGGTGGAAGGAGCGCAGGCCAGGACCACAAAGTAAAATACAAACCGACCCCAGAAACAGTGTCCTCCTTCTGGATTCCCTTGTGGCTCTCAAGGAACATTGGATCCTCACAGGGACTAGATATATATGTATAAGTAACTGAATCGCTTTGCTGTACACCTGAAACTAACACAACACTGCAAAACAACTATACTTCAATTAAAAAAAAAGAAAGAAAGAAAACAGCTGGGATGATGGTGGCAACGCTGCAAAGGTCACTACAGGAGAGGGGCGGAGGGGATGGAGGGATGCACACTGACAACTGGGGCTGGGGAAGGTTCAGCTCCCTCAAGAGGGACAGAGCTGGGATTCAAAGGTGAGAGCGCCCTGAGCAGGCACAGCAGGGAGAAACAGGCCACCCTCATCAGAGAAACCTTTGCCTTGAAGGCTCTGGCTACCTCCACTCGTTTGTAATTGACTGACCGTCTCTAGCTTGTGACTCTATTTTTAACTTGGAGTTTTACTGGTGTTATTTTAAATTTGGATAACTAAAACAAACCCTGAGGAGTAAAGATGCCTGGCAGGAGCCTAACTCCCGAAATCTTGGACTTTTACTACATGGGGCCTATGTGTACGCTACGTGAGGCTGGCTTCTACTCAATGGAAGGCTACAGAATGAATGATGGGATGTGTGAGATACTTACAACTCTACATGCTTATACTTGAAGCTTTGGTTTGGGAGTTGTCTGTTATTTTTAGCTTATCTGGGTTTGTCTTATAAACCCAAGGCAGGAGACTGATCTCTGTCTACAACAGAGGAGGCTGAACAATTACAGTCCTCCCTCTTCAATCACTTTCTACACCTGTGTGTTTTGGAAATGGGTGTGTGCCGGTCGTATCGATGCTGTTCCTCTAATGTCTTCTGTGTGTCTGGAGCATCAAGAACAGACTGATGACTTAAAAAGATATTTGCCTCGCTGCCCGAGGCAGCTGGCCTCCTAACAGGGCTGGCTGCAGCAATGCCAAAGGATTCCTGGAACATTCTCTCTGCGCTAAGCCACACTATTACGAGATGGACGCTCACAACCTCCTTGCCAGGACCTACTTTCTAATTTGGAGTTTGATGTATAACACGGTGTATCTTGGACTGTTTGCATCTCACTTTCCTGCGTGTTGTCCATGCTCAGCAAAGGCCTCACATGAAGCAAAATGGATATGAGTTTTGCAGTATCTAGCAGAATACTAGTCGCATGTAGGTATTTAATAAATGTTTCACTGAATGTCCTGGGTCCCTATATAAATTGGACAGAATTTATAAATATTTTCCCAAGATCAACAGGACTTATAGATTTGCTCCTAAATAAAAAAACCAACTGATAACTTTACATTTACCAGAATTCTTATCATCTTCCATCACCCAAGATGAATACAGAGAGCGCCGACAATTTCTAATCTTTAAAAGGGAAAGAAATGGGCAAGAAACTTTCTAGAGGACCTGCTTGGCCTTTGGATGAGATCTTAGCTGCATGAGACCACAAAGACGGCAGCACTGAAGTCCTAACAGACGTCCTTCCAGCTAATATCACTAACACAGATGATTTATTAAAGAAAGGAGGGATAAAACACTCTTCCATAAAATCCCCTCAGAGAAAATATGCCTTTCCATCCAACAAGAACCAAATACCAATCAATGGTGACCATTTTAATAATAAAATCATCCTTTTTAATTGACCTAAACGCTACCACTGAGAATATATTTCCACCCAAACAGCCCTTCTTAATCATGAGAATATGATAAGTCTAGGGACGCTCAGTTCCTTTTGCACATTTATCAGATGCCTGCCAGTCACAAAACGCCAGGGAAAAACAGCTCTTTTTTTCAATGCTGTAGCTAAAAAGAAAAAAAACAAGTTTGTTTATTTACAAGGCCTATTAGCAACAAGAAATATGGATGCTCCCATAGAGCGGAGAACATTTATGGCGGCCCATGATTCATGAAGATTTCAAAAAACCAACAAACCAAAAAACAGGAAAAACCTGATGCAGAAGGTAGAGTGCTATCCTGGACCAAACCCAGATATTTATCTTGCTTTTTTATGAAACACCTCATTTTATTGTGCCTCACATTTTTGCACTTTGCAGATACTACACTTTTTATGAATTAAAGGTTTGTGGCAACCCTGCATTATCAGAGGTTGGTTAGCATTTTTTAGCAATAAAGCATATAAACTTTTTTTTCCCTTTCCAGTTTTATACTGAAATATAATTGACACACAGCACAGAATATGTTTCAGGTGTACAGCATAATGATTTGATTTATATACAACATGGAATGACTACCACAAGTTTAGTGAACAACCATCATCATAGAGATACAAAATAAAAATTTTTTTCCTTGTGATAAGAGCTCTTGGGTTGTACTTACTTATCTTAGAGCTGCAAGTTTATACCTTTTGACTACCACTCCCCCAACTCCCCCTCCCCCCGCACCCCTGCCTCTGGTAACCACAAATCTGATCTCTTTTTCCATGAGTTTGTCTTTTTGTTTTCAAAGTATAATTGAGCTATAGCACTATGCCAGTTGTGGTGTGCAGTATAGTGATTCCGTATTTCTGTACATTACAAAACGATCACCGTGATAAGTCTAGTTACCATCTGTCACCACACAAAGATATTACAATATTATTGATTATATTCTCACACTGTGCATTTCATACCTGTGAAAGGATTTTTAAAATTAAGGTATGTACTTTGGGGTACGTGTCCTTTATACAATGGAATATTACTCAGCCATAAAAAGGAACAAAACTGGGTCATTTGTAGAGATGTGGATGGACCTAGAGTCTGTCATACAGAATGAAGTAAGCCAGAAAGAGAAAAACAAATATCACATATTAACGCATATATGTGGAATCTAGAAAAATGGTACAGATGAACCTATTTGTAGGGCAGGAATAGAGATGTAGACGTAGAGAACAGGCCTGTGGACACATGGCGGGGAGGGGAGGGTGGGACGAATTGAGAGATTAGGTTTGACATAAATACACCACCATGTGTAAAACAGATAGCTAGCGGAAACATGTTGCATAGCACAGGGAGCTCAGCTCGGTGCTGTGTGACAACCTAGATGGGTGGGATGGGTAGAAACACAACACTGTAAAGCAATTATGTTCCAATAAATAAATAAAGGTATGTTTTTTTTTTAAATACATAATGCTGCTGCATACAATAGACTACAGTATAGTATAAACATAACTTTTATGTGCACTGGGAAACCAAACATATTGTGTGACTCACTTTA